AAATTACAAAATTTTGGCTTTGATGCTGGTTCTGTTAAGCTAGTTAAAGCTTATTTATCAAATCGATTGCAACAAGTAATTTATAAAAATAGACTATCTTCAAAATTATCTATTAAGTATGGAGTACCTCAAGGGTCTGTGCTGGGCCCCATACTTTTTTTATTATTTATTAATGACTTAGCTGATAACGTTCCTGAGTCAAGTAACATTATATTATTTGCTGATGACACAACCACTGTGAATATAAGTGATAATTTGCCGGATCTTTTTAGTGAGGTGGTTGGATCTCAGGGTTGCATTTTTGACTGGTTTTCAGCTAGTCAGCTTAGCGTAAATGAATCTAAGACTCAGCGGTTACTCTTCTCTTTGCGCGCACTAGGTGATAATGTTGATAACCCTACTGCCAAATATCTAGGAGTTCATTTAGATCGTAAACTTACATGGGAAGAGCATGCAATACGAACAACTAGTAAATTAAACAAAATTATTTACTGTATTAGAAATTTAATTAATATCGTTCCAGTAAATACAGTAATGACAGCATACTATGGTTATTTTCATGCTCACTTATCATATGCCATTCTCGCTTGGGGTCATTCTGCACATGCTGCTCGGGTGTTTAGCGCTCAGAGACGATGTATCCGAGTGATTTCGAATTTAAAATCCTCTGAGTGTTGTAGAGCTAAATTTGTAGAGTTAAAAATCTTAACTCTACCTTGTATTTATATATTTAACTGTCTCCTTTACAATAAAAAAAATCTTCAGAATTTCAAAAGACATGATGAGGTCCATCATTATGGAACCAGACACCATGATAACCTCATGATTAATTATACTCGCACTGAAAGAGCTAGGGATGGCACTAATTATTATGGAATTAAATTTTTTAATTTGTTGCCTAATCCCATTAAATTACTTGATATTAATAATTTTAAATCAAAGATCAGAAATTACTTGTTAGCGAGAGCATTCTACAGTGTGGATGAGTACTGTCTGAGCACTTTTGATGACCTAGTATAGGCCTTATCTCGCATGCCTTACTCGTCCGGATTTGTGCCGTCGTTTATTGTAGATGTAGTTTTAAGATGTTCTTAATGTTGTTAATTGTCTAGCGGTAATGTTACATGTATTTTTTATTATTTTGTTTGTTATGTATTATACGCTTTTCTGACTTGCGCAAATACTATTGTATGACGTCGCCAATAAAGGTAAAAACTAGAATTCAGACCTATTCCCAACATATTTAAAAAAAAATTTTCCATCATTTTGTAATTCTTTTTAAGTACTGAAGATGAAACATTTGTTTCGAAACATGTCTATTTATTGAAATAAATTAAGTATTTTGTTATTTCTCACAAAAAGCTTTTACTTTTTCCATTTTTATTATTTAGTTCTGAGAAATATGGAGAATTTCATCCCTTTTAGTCTTCAATGACTTATGCATTGTTAGTCTAGGGCCCTGCTGCTGGTTTTGAACGCGTATTTAGAATGTAGAGAAGGGCTATACGGCTATTAAGAAATTTAAATTATAGACGATTGTAGAAACTCCTATATTGATTTAGAAATATTAACTCTACCGTCTTGACATGTTACATTTTATGTGGGACAAAGTAAGTAGGTACGCTCTGGTTTCTATGGAAATATATTTTTGTATATTGCATCTTAAGTAAAATTCAATGTATAATCTATAAACGTTTTCTTTCCAAACTATTTCGCATTGTTACTTATTAACCGTATAGTCCAAATCTTTAAGAGTTTAATGAATTCAATTAATTTTCTGTGAGTAGATAATAAAAGTTTTGTTAATTTTGTCAGTGTAGTTATAAAATGTGAAAAAGTTGAGTGCCACTTCATTTAATTGTTAGTAGTGTAGTAGCAACCACAATCCAATTTTGAAATGATAAATCGGCCTGAAACTCTCTCCTCCGTAAAATCGAAACAAATGGAAAGAACGCGACACCCTTCGCGATCGGATCTCGCCTTAGTTCGGTCTCGGACTTATCCGTCAGTCGTGAAGTCGTCCTTAATGCGGACCCATTGATAAGGAACGGATCGCCGAAGCGATTCTTCAAGCAGCGGTGGACCCCTTCTTATTTCGTAGGTTCCGGACGAACCCACGAACAATTGAACGATTCTGGAGAAACGGGGCGAAACGAAAGAAATCCTGGATACTGGTTTTTGTCCGGTTTCCGGACGTTACATCTATATAGATAAATGTTTAACACTTTGCCCTTCACTCGTTCAAATCGAGTCCGGATTGATAGCGGATCGATCTTTGACTGACGTTTTATTTTATTTATTCCGCGCTTTAATATAAGACTTTTAGTAATAGTGTTGAAGCGACAACGGAATCAATCAGAAAATCCAAACTAATGCCAACGTTGAAACGACGCTTTCCGCTACATTTACCAGAAGTCTATAAAGTGACAACGACCTCTTCGCAAGACTGTATAAATTTCTTGGCGGAGAATTGGGAAAGTTCAAAACTGTAATGATGTGTAAAAAAGAGCGATGTCTGTTTACTTAAAACTTTTCAACTCAAACCTTTAGCATATCACCTGATCATTCATTCAAGTTAAAGAAAGTTTTAAAATAAACGTTATATTTTTAATAATTTTAACCCTTTGTGTCCCAAGAAGTCAAACATTTTGAAAGTTTGTGACAGAATCAGACAGAATTAAAACGCTATCAAAATACACTCAGTAAAGGCCTTTGGAATAAAATTTTAGCAAAATATGCAATCCCCCTATTTTCGCATAGTCTAAGTGTCAAAAAAGATGCTAATTCAAAAATTCCTGGAAACCGTGATTATTGAAATTGAGAAATAAAACTTATTTTAAATTGAAGCTTGAAGCTTTCTGTTTAAACCGATGTATAACAATCGATGAGTTGAATTAAAAAAATATTGAGAAAAAGAGTATTGAGTTAAAACTAACATTTTCGTATAACCTAAAAGTGTCAAAAAAGATGCTAATTTAAAAATTCCTGTAAGCCGTATTTATTGAAATTAAGGAATGAAACTTATTTTAAATTAAAGCTCAAAGCTTTCTCTTTAAAATGATGTATAATAATTGTTGGGTTGGATTGGAAAAATATAGAGAAAAAAAATTTTGAAACAAAACTTACATTTTCGAATAACCTAAAAATGTTAAAAAGATGCTAATTTAAAAATTCCTGTAAGCCGTATTTATTGAAATTAAGGAATGAAACTTATTTTAAATTAAAGCTCAAAGCTTTCTCTTTAAAATGATGTATAATAATTGTTGGGTTGGATTGGAAAAATATAGAGAAAAAAAATTTTGAAACAAAACTTACATTTTCGAATAACCTAAAAATGTTAAAAAGATGCTAATTTAAAAATTCCTGTAAGCCGTATTTATTGAAATTAAGGAATGAAACTTATTTTAAATTAAAGCTCAAAGCTTTCTCTTTAAAATGATGTATAATAATTGTTGGGTTGGATTGGAAAAATATAGAGAAAAAAAATTTTGAAACAAAACTTACATTTTCGAATAACCTAAAAATGTTAAAAAGATGCTAATTTAAAAATTCCTGTAAGCCGTATTTATTGAAATTAAGGAATGAAACTTATTTTAAATTAAAGCTCAAAGCTTTCTCTTTAAAATGATGTATAATAATTGTTGGGTTGGATTGGAAAAATATAGAGAAAAAAAATTTTGAAACAAAACTTACATTTTCGAATAACCTAAAAATGTTAAAAAGATGCTAATTTAAAAATTCCTGTAAGCCGTATTTATTGAAATTAAGGAATGAAACTTATTTTAAATTAAAGCTCAAAGCTTTCTCTTTAAAATGATGTATAATAATTGTTGGGTTGGATTGGAAAAATATAGAGAAAAAAAATTTTGAAACAAAACTTACATTTTCGAATAACCTAAAAATGTTAAAAAGATGCTAATTTAAAAATTCCTGTAAGCCGTATTTATTGAAATTAAGGAATGAAACTTATTTTAAATTAAAGCTCAAAGCTTTCTCTTTAAAATGATGTATAATAATTGTTGGGTTGGATTGGAAAAATATAGAGAAAAAAAATTTTGAAACAAAACTTACATTTTCGAATAACCTAAAAATGTTAAAAAGATGCTAATTTAAAAATTCCTGTAAGCCGTATTTATTGAAATTAAGGAATGAAACTTATTTTAAATTAAAGCTCAAAGCTTTCTCTTTAAAATGATGTATAATAATTGTTGGGTTGGATTGGAAAAATATAGAGAAAAAAAATTTTGAAACAAAACTTACATTTTCGAATAACCTAAAAATGTTAAAAAGATGCTAATTTAAAAATTCCTGTAAGCCGTATTTATTGAAATTAAGGAATGAAACTTATTTTAAATTAAAGCTCAAAGCTTTCTCTTTAAAATGATGTATAATAATTGTTGGGTTGGATTTGAAAAATATTAAGAAAAAAATGTTGAAACAACACTTACATTTAAAAGAGTCAAAAAAGATGCTAATTTAAAAATTCTTAGAAACCATGTTTATTGAAATTAAGGAATGAGACTTATTTTAAATTTAATCTCAATGTTTAGTTTTTAAAATGATCTGTAATAATCACACCTAATAACCATTTATCAAAGAAATACCTTCTTGAACAACAAAAGTCAACAGCACCACTTTTCACTAAACTTCTAACTTCACATCTGGATGAATAAGTTTAAAGTGTACCTAAAAATCCTACAGTGCGGATTGCGACGTTTTTTATATAGATTATTTCTTGTATGCACTTGTATAGTAGAATAGATAACTACAGTTTAAAATGAGTGTTTAAAATTACCGGTACTTTAAAGTACCGTCGGGACACAAAGGGTTAAAGAGACCCCAAATCTTTGTCGAAAGTTTGATGTGTTTGGTCATGTAGCTGATCCCCACATCAATTGTAGGAGATCCCCAACGCGGTGTTATTCAATTAAATTTCCGGAAGAGGGGGGAATGTCGTTGGGGAATCTCGTGAGACAAGGGCCGATTCATTTCTGTTTGAGTTTGACGGAAGGTGAGTGCTGTATTGACTTTGCAACATAACCGAGGGAATACGGACTACATTGTTTCTCGGCTTACAAACGACTACCCTGCGGCAGTAACAGTTAAGTATTCGTTTTATTTAAGTTGCGTCCCCGGTTAAACATTGTTATGGGCAGACTCTGAGTGGCTCCGAGACCGGAGGCGTTTACGTTCGGCCGTCGAGGAATAAAAGTCGAGATGCCCAAGTGGCGGCAGCCTTATCTTTAAAACGCCGGATGTTAAAACGGTATTGTGTTCCTCGAGAAAGACCGCGCGTGGAAGTTTCAGTGGGTAGTTGCTAGTCCGTTGATGCTGCGGATAAACCGTAAAGTCTCCCCTACTGTAAAACAGTCCGCCTTAGTTTCTTCACGAAACGTACCTGCCATAAAATGACTTAATCGCTTTTGTTTCATTGCTTAAAACAAACGTAGAAAACTCGGAAATGAAGTAGATATAATAAAATTCCTTGCATTAGAATCTTTAACGCGGTCGCTTTAGTTGCTAAATCTCGTTTATCGATCCCTAGACGATGGTCCCAGTGTAACCAAAGCTGTTGGCACAGCCAGGCCACAAATTTAACCACCTACCCCGTTTCTCGAGTTATTGAACTCTTTTTTCTGATTTCCCTCGAGAGATCTGATCCCGAAATTTACACCTGCACTTTTTCACTTAGCTTGAGTTTTCACTTACTTATTCGCGTGAAAATCGTTTTCCAATACAAATAATTATATCTAAGAAAATGAAAGATACCGCATATAATGTGCCGTATCCCTTAAATATCGATTTCCCATTGTTCAACTGATTTTGCTCACTAAAAGCCAGGATATATGGACCGCCTTCAGTTTACCGGGTTGGACCCGAATCTCTCGATAATCGCGAATGTGCGCGGAATAATGTAGGAACCATTAATTCTGCGCGCATCCTCAAATAATAACGTTATACTCACATTCACCGAGGTACCTCCGCAAATAACAGCACTACCGCATCTGGAACTAATGCACTCAAATTATTTCGCTTTCCCGTCGACGTATCGTAATTAACTATTTATCACGATCATTTTGTTTCGACGCCACAGATAGCATAATAAATGGACTCTATTCCCGATTGCAATTTAATTATTATAATGAAACGTTTAATCGGAGAAGTAATATGTCATCAAATATTAATTTTCCAAATTGATGTTTGAATTATTATGATAAATCTCGTAATTCCATACAAAAATTTGGTAATATTTCAGGTTTAGCCATCGTTTTGGCACAGCTGTAACGAACAACATGCGATGCGAAAATAGTTACCGTAAGTACTCGAGAGTGTGCAGCTAATAAATTACTTCAACTTTTCGCTTTGCGGACTTTCCGCCGGGAGAAGACAATGGCTGGTAAAATTGTCTGACACCATGCACAAAGTAAACACACATTTTTCCACCCTGTATTAGGATAAATGGTTTGCTAAGGAAAATTTTAGTTTGCCAACGAAGGTGAGCACCTGGGGTAATCTTTGCGATGGCGCGTTATATTTTGATTATGATTATATTCTGTGGAATAAAAATTGTCTGGCGGGGATTATAATTTAAAATAAACGACACGAGTTACATTAAATTTGTAAATAAACACTCGAAGAGATAATAGTTGTGGTTGAATCAAAACATTTCGTTGTTATCGCGCGATTATAAAGCAAAATATTTATTAATCGGTTGATAACTCTTGGTAACTGTTCTTTTTAGTTCAGTTTATTATCGAATATGAAGCCGTTGTTACTATTCTTTTTATTCTTACTTAGTAATAAAGAAATTCTTGGAAAAGTATTCACCATTAATAGAGATGTGAGTGATTGGTACCCAACATGGGATAGTCTTGATAAGAGACCATTACCGGATTGGTACGATAAAGCAAAAGTTGGAATTTTTCTCCATTGGGGAGTATACAGTGTTCCTGGATTTGGGTCAGAATGGTTTTGGGCAGATTGGAAATGTAACTATAACACTTTTATTAATTCAAAGTCTGAATTAATTCTTAATTTTAGCCAATTCCCCAGATTATGTTAATTATATCGAAAAGAATTTCCCCCCAGGATTTTCTTATCAAGAATTCGCGAAAGATTTTAAAGCTGAATTTTTCTCACCAGATACGTGGGCAGAACTTTTTGCACAATCAGGTGCAAAATATGTTGTTTTAACTAGTAAACACCACGAAGGTTTTACAATGTGGCCATCATCCTATTCATTCGGTTGGAACGCCATGGATATTGGCCCTCATCGAGATTTATTGGGCGAATTAGCTACAGCCATAAGAAATGTAGGGCTTCGTTTTGGTACATATTATTCTCTTTACGAATGGTTTAACCCACGTTATCTCGCTGATAAAAAGAAAAATTTTACAACGCAAGATTACGTCGATCACAAGATGTTACCGGAGTTAAAAGAACTGATCGAAACTTACAAACCAGAAGTAATTTGGTCTGATGGAGATTGGGAGGCCAAGGATGAGTATTTTAGGTCAAAAGATTTTTTAGCTTGGTTGTATAATGAGAGTCCAGTTAAAGAAAGCGTTGTGGCTAATGATAGATGGGGTTCTGGTATTCCTTGTCATCATGGTGGTTATTACACATGCACAGATAGATATAATCCAGGTATTTTTTTATTAATAACTTAATTAATTTATTATTACATTTTAAATAGGTGTTTTGCAATCTCATAAATGGGAGAATTGCATGACTGTTGACAAAATTTCATGGGGGTACAGGAAAAATGCCAAAATTTCCGATTATTTAACACCAAACGAGCTAATAAAAACTTTGGTTGAAACTGTGAGTTGCGGAGGAAATATTTTGATTAATGTCGGACCAACAAAAGAAGGGACAATTATTCCCGTTTTTCAAGAGCGTCTTCGCCAATTAGGGGAATGGTTAAAAATCAACGGAGAAGGGATTTACGAAACTGTACCTTGGGATGTTCAAAAAGATGATAAAACACCAAATGTTTGGTACACATCTAGTTCAAAAAAAGATATCATATATGCAATCGTATTAGAATGGCCTAATAATGACATCTTGGAACTAGGAAGTGTTGTAAAACTTTTTTATTACAAAAACACCACAGTACAATTAAGATCAAATACTTTAAAGGTAAAAAATAATTTTGTTATACTTATAAATGTATTATTTTTTTAAAATTTCAGTGGATGTACCTAAATGATTACGTTAAAATCTTCATGGTAAAAGAAGGAATTGAAGACGCCCCTTGGGGATGGGTTTTAAAAATAAAAGGATTTAAATAAATTCAAATATATTAATGTATAAATTTTTATTACAATAAATTTGCTTAGAAATTGATTTTAAAAAATCACTTATATTTTGCATTTATTGAAATTATCAGTCGCGCAAGAAAAATCCATCGATCTCAATTCCAGCATATCTGATGCAGGAAAATTACAAAAGGCAAAAGAACCGAGATCGGCATAATCGATTAAACTGTCAGCGAGATGGCGGTGTAAACAGGGCCCCATTCAGGACCCGGACCGCTAATGGCTGTCCCGTTCCAAACTTTTCGTCATTAATTTCCCTTGTTTACAATGCAAATACGAGGACTAAATACTTGTTTATGGATAAATTTTCCTTTGCGGTTTGCTACTTTTCGGATCTTTTAAAGCCGACCTAATGTTTTCTCCTCAAACAATCTCTAAAGTATTCTATTCGACTACTTTATATCCACTTATAAATTTAAAGCCCAAACACTTGTGTTTCAAGTTTTCGTTATTATAAGTTATATTTTGTTTTTATAAATTATATTTAGTAAATTTATTTGTTTTAAATTCATTTTTAATTTTTATGTTTATTTTATTTTTATGTTATAGACCCTAAATTTGATTCTGTCGACCAAGATATATTTGATCGTCTCATTCTTTTATCATAAACACGACATAGGGAGCTATTAACAAGCCTAAAGTTACCAAGTTGATTTACCTTATCAACGACCTTCACAGCACATCTGTCCTACCCGAAGGAATATAAAACATTCTCGAATGCCGTGCAGTCTACCTAAACATAGTCAAGTACAGCTGAGAAGTCCAGGTGTCGATTCTATTATTGACAAGATGACATGACAGCAAGTCATGATTCAGTACATAACATATGGAGAAGTCCGTGTACAACTTATCCGCCTCCTTCTGGCAAAAATCTATACAAGTCAATATAAATGAATACGCTGCCGGAACAATAGTGTTGCAAATATTGGATATTTGTTCCAATATAAGTGCACAGTAGGCGTTTTTATTATGCTCTGCGTCATAAGAGTGTACGAAAAACTTGTACTTTTGGAACCACTGATATTTGCGTCTAACTAACAGGTATACTGTTAGTTTCGTTTGTAATATGTATGATCAAAACGTCAATGAAGAATTTTTCATAATACTGAAACTCATTCTTGCTCTGATCTACTCAGAACAGCACAGCTCGACGAGATAGCGACAATCTTGACCTAGAGACAATTTTAATCCACATAACTTAAGTCAAACCCTTCATAATGCAAATGTTCACTACTCTTACTTGTTGTTTAATTCAAAGGCATTTTACAACCAAATTAGAAACACCTTTGGTCGCCCGTGTTATCTCAGTGTTTGTCCTATAATATTCGTTCTATCGAAATACCTTACCTGATATTAACGGATCACCATAAGTTGACAGAATCTTCCCTGAGAGTGTATGGTCGTAAGATATGAATTGTAGTCTCGTCAAAAACTATTTAACATACTCCCTAGTGCTATGATAATCCTTTATAAACTTGTAGATCTTGATCCTCTACCATTACCAAGGTAGAAAAGTTGATTCTACGCAAGACCAATATCGTGGTACACACCTATGGATTTTGATTATCAAGGACAAGCAATTTACAAAAATATCTAGCCTTTCAAAAATGATATACCAAGTCTATTCTAAAAGGGAAAATCAACTTATCACCAGCCTAAGGATTGTATCACATGATTACCAAATCAATGGACTTGTGACTTTAAATTGTCACGAATTGTGCACGACTCTCATTCACGCATATCTAGGAAATCACCAAGAACATCAAGAAACGTATCAGTTTCTGCAGTAGACGTATGCTTTCGCTACTACCATATAGAATACATCACTCTATTTGGCAATCTCTCTCTTGAAAAATCCAACTTCACGTATTCGTAATATAGTAATCAAAGCCCTCTTTTGAAAGTTTAGTGTTGCTAAGCTCATAGCCTTAGGCAGAATAGTTCGCATCACATCTTTGACAGGCATTGACACAATTCTCTGTATTCTATTTAGTAAATTCATCACCGCGACAACCATATATTTGAGGATTAAATTTGAAGGAACAAAATTAAATGCAGCTTCGATCACTTTATGCACATTCCAATTTAGTTTGGGCAATCGTTTCTACCATCAGTACAGGATGCCAAAATTCGTTGTCTGCATAGGTTATCTCCGAAACTAAAAGAAATAGAAAAAAGTAGCTTACATGTCTTGATCTTGTAATTATGTATTTCATCCTCTGTCATGATCTCGTCTTCTGTTTTCATTCTATCGGCAAAAACTGAAAAATTTGAAATATCTCACGTATTACCAAAGGTAGAATATTATATTGAGTATATATTTTACCTGTTCTACGCAGATCCAGCAAAATATCAAAGAATGTGTTTTAACATAGTAAGATTAAAAAATGAGCAAAGACTTCCAGAAAAGATAAGTTGAGTTAGGTTAGTTTTGTTTACAAATGCAAATTAACTCTGAAAAAAATATTGGGTAATGTTAGGATAGATCAGTTTTCTTTTGAACCCCAATTACAGCGTGAAGGAATGTCGGTTTTCTTTGTATCCCAATTATAGGCGTGAAGAAACTCTAATTACACCGTGAAGGAATGTTAAGACAGGTAGTTTTCTTTTGAAACCTCAATTAAAGCGTGAAGAAATCCCAATTAAAGCGCGAAGGAATGTTAGGATAGGTCAGTTTTCTTTTGAAACCCCATTAAAGCATGAAGGAATGTTAAGTCAGGTAGTTTTCTTTTGCAACCTCAATTAAAGCGTGAAGAAATGCCAATTAAAGCGTGAAGTAATGTTAGCATAGGTCAGTTTCCTTTTGAAATCCCAATTATAGCGTGAAGGAATGTCTATTTTCATTTGTACCCCAATTATAGCATGAAGACACTCCAATTAAAGCGTGAAGGAATGTTAAGACAGGTAGTTTTCTTTTGATTCTCCAATTAAAGCGTGACGTAATGTTATGATAGGTCAGTTTTGTTTGAACCCCAATTATAGCGTGAAGAAATCCAAATTATAGCGTGAAGGAATGTCGGTTTTCTTTTGAAACCTCAATTATAGCGTGAAGGCATGTTAGGATAGGTCAGTTTTGTTTACGGCTGTCAATCACATCGGAAAAGAATGTTTGGCAAGATTAATTTTTCATAATTTTCGAAATTTATTGTAAAATTTTAATCAGTTTTGTTATACTGGTAAAATACTCCATTTTTGGTAATAAGTGAGATATTTGCAAATTTTTCAGGTTTTGCCGATAAGATGAAAACAAAACACCATAGCTTTAAGTTTTCGGCATCAGCAATTTCTATAAAAATGAGATCACTACTCTATAAATGAGCTACTTTTTTTCTAGCTCTTGTAGTTTCGAAGGTAGCCTATGCAGACAACGAATTTGGGACACCTCTACATAATTAATATGAAAATAATTGAATATGAGAAATTTCATTCATTTACTCTGGAATGATTGCAAATATAATGATAAAAATCTGTTGTTAAATGGTATTTTTTAAAACATGTAACTCATTTAGAAGATATATGTTCTGTTTTTTTTTGATGCAGTATCTGGCCTATAAAGATCGGAATGTTAGTTTATTAAATATTGATCTAAATAAATAAGCCATGATGGTACTTCAAAGAAGTTTTATGGCACATATGCTGGCACTTTAGTGTAGGTGATGTTAGTGATAAAATGTTTACAAATTTTTATTGATTCCTCACTTGGATTTCATGATTCTAAGATGCTTCACGATGAGATTTATAATCCCTGTTTTGATATAAAAGTGGCCTTCGAGTTCTACATGTTTAATATTTATACACAATATTAAAGAGGAAGAGACAAATATGTTACATCTAACAAGGGAAATATCAGAACTGTCCCTCACCGATTTTGTTGAAATTTGGTACAGCGTTAGTATGGCCAAAAATAAGGTTTACGTATTTTTTTATACGTGCTAATAAAGCCCCTGGGGCGAGTTATAAGGGTTGGAAATCGGGGCAAAATATATATATTCGCTTATACGCTAAAAACGAAAATAGCTATCGAAATGTGGTAAATGTAAACTGATATTCATTTTTAAAGAGCTTTCCATTGATATATCACACATATATCTGAGGGCTTCAGGTGGTAAACTACCCTTAGTTTTTGGAATATTTTAAAAACTACCCTGTCGATTTTGGCGATATTATGTGTCCTTATAATACGTTTAAAAATATTAATGACGTGTTTTTTCTTATCTGCCTCTGACCATCCCCTGCAAAATTACGGGGTATGATACATAACCCCTTTGCTTAAAACTAATGTGATAAACTGTAATACTTTTGAACGATATTTTGAAGAAAACCATAAATTAGTTGTAAATTAAGATTTACGCAGTAAAATAAACCCTATACGACATTAAGGAGTGGCTGGGGTTAACAACCCTAACATCCCCAAAAATTATTTTTTGTTGCAAAAATTGTTTGTCGATTTTGGTGCAATTTCCCATGATGTTTTTTTATACGTTAGGTAGTACTATTGTTAGGTAGAACTTACAAGGGTTAGAAATTTGGGGTAGAAAATATATTTTCGCTAATAACTTTCATACTCCTACAGAAAAATGTTTTTTATCCTTACTTTATTTAAATAACACAAAAATTAGTGTAGTTATATAAATATTTATTAATAATGAGTTAAAAAGTAACTGACAAAAGAATGGTTGACTATCACAAATTGTATTCTACATTATTAATTTAATTTCTTTTTTTTACTTTTTTTATTCAATATATTGTTGGCAATAATGAAAATCATGGAAAAAATGATTTAAACACAAAGATTGTTTACACCATGCACAATTTATAACAGCTATATCTCCACAGATATCGCACGTAGGTTTTTCATTGGAAAACCAAACCTCTACGGGATTTTCAAACTGTTCTGGTCTCTCCTCTATATATCCAGATGCAAATCAGGCGTATTTAAAAACATTAATAACTCGTGGGGAAGACAACTGGTTATGCGTTAAGGATTGCAATTTTAAAATATTATCTCGCTGATGCAAAT